TGTCTGTAGATATTTGTTGGGGAGATCTCCATGTATATCATGAAGTCCACTAGAGAAGCCCTCATAGCCCAGGAGAAAACCATTGTGACGGGCGAGTGCTGCTATCTAAACCCTCTCATCCGCAGAATCATTAGGTTTATTGGTGAGTCTTTACTCTTCATTAGTGCTAAACATTTCAGCTCAGTGTCTTTTGGTTCCAGTATGGATTTTTCAGTGGCTAAACCTGATATCCTGGGAGCATGGTGAGATAATGCATACTTAGTTTTTTTATTTTAAATCTAATACTTTGACATTCGTTTTGGGCTGTCTGCTGTGTGAATATAGTAGGGCTGGGAAATGTAAATTGTTAATTTCTGCGAGTAATATTGGATAATTATATATATTAAATGTCTACAAATAATTAGCATAATTAATTCATGCAGCTTTTCGCTTCCTGGGGCTACAATTCTGTTTTTCCTCACTTTCTGTGGATAGCGTTACATGATAGTGCAATTTGCAGGCCATTCGCTATCGGCTCAGTGACGCAAAGGAGTTTTATTACATATGTAGCATTAAAATTAATGTGTAAAATAATCTTTGAAGGAGAAAAATGTACATATCTCTCGTTTAAACAGGAGAGCACACAGAGTGATGACAAACATCTAGAGTTATCTCATAAATAAAGGCAAAGCAAAATGAGACATTTATTATTTAATTGATAACCAAGTTAATAATAAACAAAAATATTAGTCTGCAGTTTGATTATTAAATCATAAAAATTATTCAAATATATTGCTGAATGGCTATAATTTAAAATTATGCATTTAACAAAGGTATTGGCAATGATAGCAATGATAGCATTTCTTGGCGAGGGCGCCGACGTTGATGGCTGCCTCCGTGGCGTGCTCCGCAGTTGTTTTTAAGTTTTTGTTAGTTTGTCCTGTCTTTAGTTATATCCCTGCAATCAGTTTCACCAGAGACGAATTGCTGGATATTCGGAAGGACACACCACCCAATATTTCACCGGTTTTCGATTATTCTGATGTTTTGCTGGACATTGTAGTCGGGGGAGCTGCGGCGCTGATCAAGCGCTTCAGGACGCGCAGACGGGGGAAGCGAGGCAGCGCCCTTATGAAGCTCAGGCAGCGCGGATTCAGAACGCCGTTGCCTAGCATCCATCTGGCGAACCTCCGAGCTCTACCCAACAAAACGGACAAACTTCTTCTGCTCTCCCGGACAAATAAGGATTTTTCAAACTCTGCTGCTCTGTGTTTCACGGAAACCTGGCTGAAAGACGCCATTCCGGACAGCGCGTTGAGTCTCCCGGGCTTTCAGCTGTTCAGAGCGTGCTGGCCCACCTGAAGGACATCACTGGACCCTTGCTGGATCCTCTTCAGTTTGCCTACAGAGCAAACAGGTCTGTGGACGATGCATTCAACATGGGACTGCATTATGTTCTGCAACATCTAGACAGACCAGGGACTTATGCAAGGATCCTGTTTGTGGACTTCAGCCCTGCCTTTAACACCATCATCCCAAACCTCACTCATCGGCCTCATTCTGAAGGTTAAAATGCTGGCTGTCTGGTGCAGTCTCAACAACCTGGAGCTCAACACACTCAAAACTGTGGAGATGACCGTGGACTTCAGGAGAAACCCCCCAGAGCTCTGAGCACCAGAACGACCAGACACAGGAACAGTTTCTTCCCTCAGGCCATCCATCTCATGAACACTTGACACTGCATTATGTTCTGCAACATCTAGACAGACCAGGGACTTATGCAAGGATCCTGTTTGTGGACTTCAGCTCTGCCTTTAACACCATCATCCCAAACCTCACTCATCGGCCTCATTCTGAAGGTTAAAATGCTGGTTGTCTGGTGCAGTCTCAACAACCTGGAGCTCAACACACTCAAAACTGTGGAGATGACCGTGGACTTCAGGAGAAACCCCCCAGAGCTCTGAGCACCAGAACGACCAGACACAGGAACAGTTTCTTCCCTCAGGCCATCCATCTCATGAACACTTGACAATAACTGTGGAACACACACTATTTATTCACTCATACACTTATTTATCTAACACACACACTCAGTCTACATTCCAATTTGCACATAATATACCTGTACATACAACTGTCTACTGTTATATACCTGTACATACAATTGTCAATTTGTATATTTTTATTCCTTATTTACTTTTTTTTATTTTTTATTATCTGTGTTTATGTTCTGTCACTGTCATTATATTACACTGTGGAAGCTTCTGTCACGAAAACAAATTCCTCGTATGTGTAAACATACCTGGCAATAAAGCTCATTCTGATTCTGATTCTGATTGGAAACTTTAGTAGTATCATTGGGAAAGTTATATTTTTATTAATATTTTAATTTATTAATTGAATTCTATTTTTTGTTTAAATTTTTGTTAAAGTTTTAGTAATTTTGTTGTACATTTTGTCATTTTTAAGCAGTTTTTTTTATGTCGGTATAGTGTTTATTAATTTTATATCAGTTCTAGTTTTATTTATTTTAGTACATCTAGTTAATTTAAAATGGGAAGTGTTGCCTTGGCAACTAGTTGAAATAAAAAAGTTAAAGTTTTTATATTTTATTTTATTGCGATAACATTTTATTTCAAGAAAATTGTTTTATGTTTTTGTTTTATGGTTTTAGTTAATTACGTATAATAACCCTGATTCCACATTTATTTGGGGGTTATGTGTGTAAATATATTTCTGATTACAATTAATATAATATTATGTACAATTAATCTCAGAAACCTGTGATGTAATTTTTTTCTAGCAATGCACAGTAAGTTTGCGTGTGTGTATGCGTGCGTTTGTGCGTGTATGTGTGTGTGCGTGTGTGTGTGTGTGTGTGCATGTTTTTGTGATTTATGAGGACACAAATTTGTATAATAACATGGGTATGACATAGGTATTACAACGAGAAGGTGATTTATGAGGACATTTTGAGTGTCCCCATATTTCAAAAGGCTTATAAATCATTCAGAGGTTTTTTGAAAATCTAAAAATGCAGAAAGTTTCCTGTGAGGGGTAGGTTTAGGGGTAGGGTTGGTGTAGGGCAATAGAAAATACGGTCTGTACAGTATAAAAACCATTACGCCTATGGAGAGTCCCTACACTTCACAAAAACAAACCTGTTTGTGTGTGTGTGCACGCGCATGTACCTATTTAACCATATTTTGTGGACAAATTTGTACCTGGAAGTGAGCTAATTTTAGCAATACCTCCTTTTGGGGTACATCCTCATTTCTAAAAATGGTATAAAAATAAAGACTATTATAATTGTTGTTATTTCTGTTAGGGTGTGGGTTAGGGATTGGTTAAAGCAATAAGCCCCAAGAAGCCACGGTTTACAGTGAATTTATAACAGCTAAGGGGGTTTTAGGCACTCCGCTTCGTGTCGTACCTAACAACGCCCCTTAGCTGTTATAAATTCACTGTAAACCGTGGCTTCTTGGGGCTTATTGCTTTAACCAATCCCTAACCCACACCCTAACAGAAATAACAACAATTATAATAGTCTTTATTTTTATACCATTTTTAGAAATGAGGATGTACCCCAAAAGGAGGTATTGCTAAAATTAGCTCACTTCCAGGTACAAATTTGTCCACAAAATATGGTTAAATAGGTACATGCGCGTGCACACACACACAAACAGGTTTGTTTTTGTGAAGTGTAGGGACTCTCCATAGGCGTAATGGTTTTTATACTGTACAGACCGTATTTTCTATTGCCCTACACCAACCCTACCCCTAAACCTACCCCTCACAGGAAACTTTCTGCATTTTTAGATTTTCAAAAAACCTCTGAATGATTTATAAGCCTTTTGAAATATGGGGACACTCAAAATGTCCTCATAAATCACCTTCTCGTTGTAATACCTATGTCATACCCATGTTATTATACAAATTTGTGTCCTCATAAATCACAAAAACATGCACACACACACACACACACGCACACACACATACACGCACAAACGCACGCATACACACACGCAAACTTACTGTGCATTGCTAGAAAAAAATTACATCACAGGTTTCTGAGATTAATTGTACATAATATTATATTAATTGTAATCAGAAATATATTTACACACATAACCCCCAAATAAATGTGGAATCAGGGTTATTATACGTAATTAACTAAAACCATAAAACAAAAACATAAAACAATTTTCTTGAAATAAAATGTTATCGCAATAAAATAAAATATAAAAACTTTAACTTTTTTATTTCAACTAGTTGCCAAGGCAACACTTCCCATTTTAAATTAACTAGATGTACTAAAATAAATAAAACTAGAACTGATATAAAATTAATAAACACTATACCGACATAAAAAAAACTGCTTAAAAATGACAAAATGTACAACAAAATTACTAAAACTTTAACAAAAATTTAAACAAAAAATAGAATTCAATTAATAAATTAAAATATTAATAAAAATATAACTTTCCCAATGATACTACTAAAGTTTCCAATCAGAATCAGAATCAGAATGAGCTTTATTGCCAGGTATGTTTACACATACGAGGAATTTGTTTTCGTGACAGAAGCTTCCACAGTGTAATATAATGACAGTGACAGAACATAAACACAGATAATAAAAAATAAAAAAAAGTAAATAAGGAATAAAAATATACAAATTGACAATTGTATGTACAGGTATATAACAGTAGACAGTTGTATGTACAGGTATATTATGTGCAAATTGGAATGTAGACTGAGTGTGTGTGTTAGATAAATAAGTGTATGAGTGAATAAATAGTGTGTGTTCCACAGTTATTGTCAAGTGTTCATGAGATGGATTGCCTGAGGGAAGAAACTGTTCCTGTGTCTGGTCGTTCTGGTGCTCAGAGCTCTGGGGGGTTTCTCCTGAAGTCCACGGTCATCTCCACAGTTTTGAGTGTGTTGAGCTCCAGGTTGTTGAGACTGCACCAGACAACCAGCATTTTAACCTTCAGAATGAGGCCGATGAGTGAGGTTTGGGATGATGGTGTTAAAGGCAGAGCTGAAGTCCACAAACAGGATCCTTGCATAAGTCCCTGGTCTGTCTAGATGTTGCAGAACATAATGCAGTCCCATGTTCGCGTTGAGTCTCCCGGGCTTTCAGCTGTTCAGAGCAGATCGCGACGCAGAATCAACAGGGAAATCACGTGGTGGCGGGACATGCTTTTACATCAATGAGAGGTGGTGTACAGATGTAACTGTGTTAAAGAAGATGTGCTGTTCAGATCTAGAAGTGCTCTTCATTAACTGTAAGCCGTTCTATTCGCCGCGGGAGTTTTGCTCGTTCATTCTCGTCAGTGTCTACATTCCTCCGCAAGCGCACGTGAGCACCTCTTTACAGAAACTCGCTGATCTGATCACAGACACAGAACAACACCCGGACTCTGTTTTAATCATTCTCGGGGACTTTAATAAAGCCAATCTCTCCCGTGAACTGCCAAAATACAGACAGCACATCACATGTCCCACCAGAGACAGTAATATATTGGATCACTGTTACACCACAATAAAGAATGCATATCACTCTGTCCCACGAGCAGCTTTGGGGCTCTCTGATCACTGCTTGGTTCATCTTATACCGACCTACAGGCAGAAACTGAAATCAGCTAAACCTGTATTAAGGACTGTAAAAAGATGGACTAATGAAGCAGAGCAGGATTTACAAGCTTGTTTTGACCTCACTGATTGGAGCGTCTTTGAAGCTGCTGCCACCGATCTGGACGAGCTCACAGAGACTGTAACATCTTATATCAGTTTCTGTGAAGACATGTGCATTCCTACCAGGACTCACTTAACTTACAACAATGACAAACCATGGTTCACTGCAAAACTCAGACAGCTCCGTCA